TCCTTTCTTTTTTTATATTTTACATCTATTATTTTCCTAAATTGTTTAAATAAATTTGTGTTACACTCTATTAAAATTTGTTCAACAGTTTGACAGTAAGGACGATACGATATGAATTTGCACAGACAATTATTAGCATCGCAAACAATTTTAACTTCAAGATATTCGAATTTCGAGTATCGATATCGACTAAACATAACTTTTTTAAAGACCAGTGTTCATGATGTTAGAACTTTCTTGATCTGAAAAATGTTTCATCAATCAACTTGTAATTTTTATGAAAAAGCAGTAATCTTATTAGTTACTTATTTCTTGGACAAAGAACTCGTACTAACAATAAGTTTTGTATCGTGGACATAGGACATTGTTAGGGCAATTGCACATAAAAAAGTTTCAATCATAATCTTTAACTATACAAGACTAATCACAGTGCGTAGTAAGGCAAACGAAATTATTACTACGCACTGTAATTAGTCGATTTCTTTGCCTTTTCTTTGAACGCTCACGCGCTGAAAGCATCATTTCATTTATCTTTGTTGCTCATTAGGCCGGTTCTACAATAGATGTAGTAAGCTTTAAGCCTTAAGAAATTAACTATTTTTTTTAAATCGGCCAACAGAGCCAAAGCACGAAAAATTAATTATTTGGAACTGTATCTCTTGGTTTGAGATCACTAAGTTCCATATATAAATTAATCTCGAAACTACATATGGAGAAAATAGGCGCAAAAAATATAGGTCCAAAAAGTCGCTGAATCATAATTAAATTTAAAGAAGAGTAATGAATAATTGATTAATTTTTTAAGGTTTAAAGCTTATTACCCTATTGTAAATCCGGCTTTACATTGTAAGAGACTATATATCGAGAAAGATACTTTTTAAATTCGCGCCTCTCCGAGAGCAGGAATAAACGCTATATCGATTGACCGAGTGCGCAGGTCAATCAATAAATCCGAAGATTATAAGAAAAATCCTCTCGTTCTCTCGACCTCCTTCGTCGTAAACACTGGTGAAAAGGACTTCAGCTCATAACACTCCATCCCAGTACATCGACACAGTATTAGATTTGCAACAGCTCAAACTCCTGTCGTGGAGACATTTCAACCTCGGAGTATTTCTGACTCTCGAGTCCATTGATCGATCAAAGGAAGAAAAATAACCCCGGAACAGGTAGGGAGCCAACGAGGGACCGCGAGAGAATCTATGAGAGAGATCATCGACTTGGAATCGCATATAATTTGATAATTACTCCCCATTATTGTTTATCCATCCTGATTATCGATGTAGCGACAGTCTTTTAATACTATTGTAACTAAAACGCGTATCATTCATACTCACCTGTTCGCCCAGTTTTCGATTCGGACCATAATATTAAGATTGTTAGGTACACGCGATATCTCAATCATATAATTCTGATACGCGATATAAGTCCGCCCGACTGATTATTATCAATATAACTTGACATCTTCTTCTGATCCCTTTCCCACATAAAAAAAAAAATAATCTTACAACATTAAAGAAAGATAGCATAATATATGCTTCAGCGCGTGAGCATCGAAAATAAAAAACGAACGAGATTAGTTCTTACTTTTAGAACCAACCAATTATATACGTCGATTGTTGACAAGACGATAACTCAGCAGTCGTTCTGCTGAACGCACCCATGATCGTATTCGCGGTCCCTCGTGGCTCCCTCACCTGTTTCCGGGTTATTTTTCTTCCTTTGATCGATCAATGGACTCGAGAGTCAGAAATACTCCGAGGTTGAAATGTCTCCACGACAGGAGTTTGAGCTGTTGCAAATCTAATACTGTGTCGATGTACTGGGATGGACGTGTTATGAGCTGAAGTCCTTTTCACCAGTGTTTACGACGAAGGAGGTCGAGAGAACGAGAGGATTTTTCTTATAATCTTCGGATTTATTGATTGACCTGCGCACTCGGTCATTTGTCGACATTCGTCTCACAATCTCTCCGTAGTCGATCCCTTATTCTTATGAGAACGGACATGATTGTGTGCGTTGTTTGCGTGTCCATTAGGCTTGGACTAAATTTTTGAGTTATTACCACTTTTAAGGATTTATTTTATTGTACACATTTTATCGTTATCAGATTACAAATCTCTTATTTATTTATTTTCACAATTACACGTAGTTTAATACAGGTAAGTTAATGGTACGTTAATAGTGTAATACATTAATAATAGCAAATTAGGTTATTTTTTAGTATTCCACATATACACGCGTGCACTACAATTTTTAATTTAGATATGTACATTAATTTTACTCAATAAGTTTTTTTATTTTAATAAAATATATTTCTCACATATAGGAAAATAACAGCGATATTAAATTTTTAATAAAATTATTTCGAAAAAAATGACAAGAAACAAGAAATAGGATTTTTTGCTATATGTAACGGTAAAGCCACAATATACAAATAATTACTTGAAATAAATTATTTGGCCATTAATAAATAAGACAGAACATGTAAGAAAACACAAAATTATATAAATTACTATAAATCTATTGAATATTAATAAATAATTTTACATTAATCTTTATTGTTTATTGACGACAAAAATAAATACAATAAATAATAAGTGATAATATTAATGTGTATATCTAGCATAATATAAATTTTATATAGCTTCTGCTTTAGAATCAGAATGTTTTTTAATTATTTTAATTCCAAGTTAATATAATTAAATAAACAGTAGTTTAGTATGTGTATATATATATATATATATATATATATATATATCATATATATATTTAATACTAAAGAGAGAAAGATATTAAAATTATTAATTCAAATTTTATTAGAACTTTATAAGTTCGCAATATATATTGCATATACTAATAGCGTTTTCCACTGGCAAAACTGGTGCGCACTGAGTATATCTTCTTCTTCTTCTCGCTTTTAATAAATAATATTGACTGGAAAGTACAAGTTACAATATGGGGCGATAATATAAATAGAGTAATACATAACTGTTATATCCCTCAAAGATATAATTATTAAGAAATAACTACTCGTGTTACATCCGCTTGACGACGGACATGACCGCGTAAAAACGCATACGCTGCGAGATATACGCGAAACCGAAATTGCTCAACGTGCAAGCAAAGCAGAAGGACTTTGAATCTGCTTCGCTTGCACCTAGGTCCTTGACCAAGGAGGCCGTTGCTAGGCACCCCTTCCGATCAAGGAAATTCCAAAAAGCGATATTATAAAAAGGGAGCAGAGATGCGCCGAATCGCTCAGTCGCAGTCGCAATCAGTCGCTCTCAAGACGCTCTCGCGTCGTTAATTAAAACGATCTCGCTAGCCGCGTGCGATCTTAACATCTTCTCGCAGTCGCGCGCGATAAGCGAAGTTATAGCTAAATAGTATCGTTAAACCGATATACGCACAAGTGTAACAGTGGTGAAACAAATAAAACTCAAGCGGTTTACTTGAATAAAAGTTTTAATAATAAAAGTGAAGTGCATTTATTTCATCAACCCGAAATAAGTCCTGACGCCCCGGATCCTCATCCTAATTTGGCGCGATCCCTTGTGTCTCACCCGAGGCACACAACATAACTTCCAAACGTCATTCGTAAGTTTTTGTCAAATTAAAATTGTTTATTATAAATATTTACTATAAATTAATACACAAATTATGATAATAATGTTTTACTTTAATTTATTATTAAATAAAAAGTAAAAGTGTTAATTGTTATAAAATCTAATTTTATAAAATAATTAATAAAATTTTTCTAATTGTTTAGTTTTAATAATAAAAAAATATTTAATTACTTTAAGGATCAGAGCACACACTTTTGCATATTATTAGTTAAATTCTTTATGTACAATATAGTTGCTTATTGAACAATCAATTTTTTTATGCATATGTGTTATATGTTATGCAAAGTGTGTACTCTGTGATTTTAAGTCATTTATACAAATTTTTATTTAATCCAAATTAATTCAGAATGACATTTTTCATAATTATTTAATAATCAGACATCATATGTATAAACTACAATAAAAATTAAAGTTAGAGAATTATGAAAGAAAAACTTCTTCAATTCTACTATACTTTGTTTTATGCTTATGATACCTAGTTATTAAGGTATGAATAAAAAAATCTTACTTTTAACCAGACTTGAGTTAAATAGTAGGGTAATTATTTTAAGTAATATAAAATTGCTTTCTAAATAAATAATATTTTACAAAAATGTTTTTATTATTACTTTAGATAATACATATATCCGGAGCTTTTTCTCAGCCTCGTCATGCCACAAGTTTAGGAAATGTAGCAATGGATTTAACAATAAAAGATTACACATCATAAACATTATTGGAAAAATTTGAAATTCGGAAGAAATAAAATCTTACACATTAATTGATATTCAAAACATTTTAAATTCTTCAACAAAGTATGGTAAGTATAATTTTTTTAAAAGATGATAAAGTTTAATTTGGTACATTTCTATTAAAACAAATTTATTAATTACATAATACATATGTATACAAATAGATGTCAACAATAGAGCTGGAAAAATGTTTTAATTTTTATCAAAATAATTATATGTATGTACATTCTTTTTCTTATTTAATTTTTAAATAGATAAATTCATCGGCGATTACGAGCCATACGCGGTTGACTTGATCTCGTAGAAATTTAAGATTTCTACGAGATTTAAAATATGTGCACATAGGCATCGATATTACTTAAAACTATCAAGATTTTTGACGCGGTATATTAATCTATAGGGGGGTAGAGAAGGTTCCGCGTTCGTTTATTCGTGTTTATCTCAAAAGTAATGAGATCACAAACCGTGTCAAAAATCTTGGTAGTTACCAAGTAATATCGGTGCCTATGTGCACATATTTTAAATCTCGTAGAAATCTTAAATTTCTACGAGATCAATGCACCGTCAACCGCGTAAGGCTCGTAATCGCCGATGAATTTATCTATTTATTATTAGTATCACGAGCCAATAATTTCTTTAAAGTTTATTTAATTTTTATTCTAATTATAGTAACTTTGAAAGCTTTTTTAAAACACGATTTTACCGAAGATACGTTTGGTGAAACTACTTATATTTCATCAGTAAGAATCGGAAAATTTCGGTTTGAAATACGATGTAAAAATCATTTTCTCTTGAATAAATTTAAAGTAAAAACAAAGCTTCAAATATCTGGAATCCTGAAAAATGATAGAATGCCAAATTTTTTGCTGGTTGAAGATGTATCAGACATAAAAATCATACCAGGTATTATTATCGATGAGAAGCTTTCGAAGGCAGTATTTCTTCCGAAAAGAAAAAGAAAAGCCGAAGACATTATGGTATATTCTTTTATTCTAATTAAATTCTCTTATTCTATTTTCTTTTTTTATCTTTTTTTAGGGGGATTTTTTACTTATTAATTTTTATTTTACTTTGATATTTCCGTAAATTTTATAGTAAAATATTTATTAACTATTAGTTTAAATTATAATTTAATTTTAAAATTAACATTAATGTATCTATATATGTATTTAAGTTTCTTCTCAGTTTTTTGTTTAATATTTTTTTTAACTTTTCTTTTTAAATATTTTTCAACTAACATTAGTTTTGAATTATATATGTGATAAAGTACGCAAGTAAAATAAAGTACATGTAAAATAATAACGTACATAAAAAAATATAACATATACTTGTATTTCAAGAAAATTTAATTATTAATTTTAATATTTTATTTATAGGAGTAATCAAAACATAAAACGTAATCTTTACAGCAGTATTTTTACAAAAGTAATCTATTTTACAAGGTAAATTTTATTATGTACCTATTCTTATATTTTTATATTATATATTTTTATAATATAATTGAATATTTAGTTAAACTTATTTTTAATGAAATGTATGTCTTCTATATTCAAATTGCACTTTTGCTTCAATCTAATTCCTGTATTTTAGCTATCGTTTTTAATTATTTTTAATCAATGCAATTTGAAAGCAATGAAATGTTTTGTTGAAAATTAAATTCTTTATAACTTTTGATTGTTTTATATTGACTTCAGATTATAAATCTTTAAACATACGTAACAACAATTTGCTTATGTTAAATTCTTATCTAAATATCATACTAAATATCCTTATAAATTAAAATATTTTAATGTTCTCTTTTAAAAACAAACTTTTTTATATAAATAAATAAAATTAAAATTTAGCAATTTAAAATATGTAGGTACATAATCTTTGCAATCTTCTTTTTTAGTTAATATAAATATTATCACATTTTGCAGAATTAAAATTGAATTTCAATTATATTTTATCATTATGCATCCTTCAATATTTATTAATATATCCTTGTTAAATTTGTCTTTTTTTTAAAGAAGAAATAAAGTTACTTTTTTGTTTTCTATCTTTTGTTTTCTAAAAAAAAACAAATGTAGTAAGCTACAAATAATACGAGATATCAGTTGTGCTCATAAAAAGTTTAAATTAATACAAAAGCTAACATCAAAGTTTAATTATTATATATTGATCATATTGTTGCAGCAGTTGAGATAAAAAACAATTATTTGCATAATTCATAAAATAAATACAAAAATAAAAATAATTTCACAGAAAAAAGACATTGCAAAAAATGAGAATTTAAAAAAAATTATCAATACAGATTTATTTACACATAAAGAAATTTTAGAGGATGTTGTTGAAAACGATACAACTTTGTAAGTAAATAACTTTTTATTTTATTAATATTCACATATTATTTATAAAGAAGCATACTTTATATAGGATTGTTTAAAATTATAAAACACACACATATATTTGATACAAATTTTATAATTTATTTATAAAAAAACATTTTAGATATTACTTAAGAAAATTACGTTTCAAAATCAGGATGTATTAAATAATTTCGTACACATATACACAATTTTTAATTTAGATACATTAATTTGTATAATTTGTAATTTCGTTAATAACAAATTATCTATTTTTTTTATTTTTAAATAAGCTTTATATTGTAAATATTATAAAATATATTTTTTATTTTACAGTGAAATAACAGGTTACGTGAGTTCAATCTTTACAATAAAATCATATGAAAAGAATGACAAAAAATGGGATCTTTTTAACTTCATTTTAAGTACCGGTGAAACCACTATACAAGTTACTGCTTGGAACAATTTGGCTTTTAAATATGCAAGTTTAATAACTGAGACAGAACGGGTAAGACATTTATTTATATACATACTTTTTAATAATATTATCATATATCAATTTTTTAAAACACTTTGCAAACTTCAATCATTATTGTGTATTATAAATATACTTTTAATACTATATTTGACTAAGTACATTGAATTTATTGAAATTGATTTCAATTTAATCTATCTATACAAAAGCAATAAATAATTTTTTTTATATATTTGTACTCACTGCTGTTTTAGCATTTAAATTTGTTTTATAATTTTTAGTTGTTAATAAAACATGCGAAACAAAGAGCACAAAGAAAATCTGAGTAAGTTTAAAAATCAATAAAAAGTTTCTCTTTTTTTGATGTGAAAGTTTTATAATGTGACAATTTACATATACATATACAAATTGTGTGAATGTTCTGATTGACTGTTATGATCAAAATAGTTATAATTGCAAGATACTCATCTTTTCCATGGGAAAAGATATATATAAGTCTATTACATAGATGTATAGAATATATTTTGTATTACACGTGTGGATTGACAATTGTTCACTCGTGTGGGGTGGTCGCACTCGTGACCAATTGTCAACTTTCCGCATTTGATACACAATATACTATTATAATATTTCTTTCAGAGAAAGAGACTGTTTATTAAGAGTTTAACAAGGCTCTGTAATATAAATATAAATTTAAAGATATAAGACAGGCAATAAGAGCCAACTCGCGGATGACAATGCGTTATCCTAACGAAACTAAATTTTTCGTTAGGATTAAGTATCTGTGCACAAGGCACCAAATTTTACTTGGTCACGGCCAAGATTTAAAATATGAAATAATCTCATATTTGAGATTTAATTTCAATAACCCTTTCACCCCCCTACGGAAATAAGTAAATGCAAGAGAAAAATATAGATCCGAAAGTCGCTGAATCGGGAGACTGTTTATTTTTAAAATAACTGTATTTTTGTATGTAGAGAGTGTGTAAGTGCGTGCACTTTCTTACCTTCTTCGGAAGGTATAAAAAACTTACCAAATATGTTGAGCAAGTAGATTGTTCGAACTGAAAATCTTCTTAAACAAAAAACCTGATATCTTGCCACGCGGCAGCAATCGCTCTCGACAACCGATTGCTTCTTCTTCTTCTTCTTCCTCACGGTTTAGTGGCCTACATAAACCAGACTTGGCTTTTCTTTGCCGGCCATAAGTTCTGATTAGGTCCACAATGGATCAAAAGGAAAAAAATTTTTTCAGACGAAACATGTCTGAACACGTCGACGGACGCCAATGGACTCGGACGACCGATTGCTCAAACGGCTTTTTCCGAATATGCACAGTGGATACGATTTTAATTCACAATATTCGCGCGACGTATAATAAGTAATAAATGAAAATCACGACGAATTTTTTCCAAAAAATTACTTATTGAAGAGACACACGGTACGCGTCTTATCCGTATGATTCCGACCGGTTATTCGATTACGTACCTGTGCCACGCGGTCTTTCGTCATAGAATATAGACAAGTATAGAAGCACGGTTCTCGGTACCCCGCGAGCTGGGGTACTTTGCTATAATTTACGTCACGTCATCGAATTCCGATTCGCTACCACCACAGTGTTCCGATTAGGGACCGGCTGTACGCGCATGCGCGGCTAGAAAAGTACAGTAACGTACATATACGCAGTTTGGCGGGATCGTGAACGATAGAGTTAGGGACGATTTACACATTGGCAGAAATGCAGAAAATAGAAAAGCCGAAACCAATCAGAACTTGCGTTCTGCCAACACGAGTTCTGATTGGCTTCTGCTTTTCTGCCAAGATGTGAATCCTCTCTTAGAATGGTCGGCAATCGGCGGCTACGCGGCTACGGCAGCAGAGAAGAAAAAAGCTAATGGTAAGATAAAAAGAGGTAATGGTAAGATAAAATTTTAATTATTATTTAATTACAATGGACTCTGTAGGAAAAGGAGCTATTCTGCCAAGGTGTGAATCATAGGATGGTCGGCAATCGGCGGCTACGGCAGCAGAGAAGATTAATCAACTAATGGTAAAATAAGAAGAGGTAAAAGAGTTTTAATTATTATTTATTAATTACGATTATTTATTAATTATGGACTCTGTAGAAAAAAGGAGCTATTAAAAGAAAGAGTCCGTAAATTTCAAATGTCATGGCTAGATGGTACAATTTTTAAAGAATGGTTGGCTCCACATCCTACATTAAATAAAGCTATATGTACTGCATGTAATAAAGCCATCAGATGTTGTAAATCTAATTTAATTGAACATTCACAATCGGTCCAACATTTAGAAAAAATGAATTCTAAAAATTTAAATATTAATTTTACAGACACTACCGCGAATAGTAGTAATAAAGTCACTCTTTCACATAAAGATAAAGTCAAACATGCCGAAATAAAATTAGCAGCATTTTTTGCTGAACATAATATTTCTTTTTATTCCGCGGATCATTTAATTCCACTATTGAAAGATATCTGCATAGTCCCTGAAGTTGTATCAGATCTTGCACTGGCTCGAGATAAGTGCACAAAAATTGTTACACAAGTAATTGCGAAACGAGAAACAGAAAAATTAATTCAAATTATTCAAAATTGTAAATTTTCTATTTTAATCGACGAAAGTACTGATATTTCGGATACTAAACTTATATGTATTCTTGTGCAATATGTTTCACCTGTAACTAAAAAAGTAAAAACACAATTGTTAGATTTATTATCTATGGACGCAACAGATTGTTCCGCGAACAAAATTTTTGAAAGTTTTAAAAATGTTAGATAAAAAAAAAATTCCTTTAAAAAATATTGTCGGAATGGCAAGTGATAATGCATCTGTAATGATTGGATGCTATAATTCTTTTATGTCGCGCTTAAAATTAGAAATACCGGGTCTTGTTACGTTAAATTGTATTTGCCATTCATCCGCGCTTGTAGCAAGTAAAGCTTGTGAAAAACTTCCACAGTCGTGCGAAAATTTAATTCGAGGAATTGCAACTTATATCTCAGGTAGTGCAAAGAGATGTGCAATTTTAGGTGAATTTCAGGATTTTTTTGATGTGGAAAGAAATAAAATTTTTAAATTATCAAATACTCGGTGGTTAATTTTACATAAATGTGTTGTTAGATTATTAAATAATTGGGAAGTTTTAAAAAATTATTTTATTTTAGCTGTAAACAAAGATAAATTAAAATCCGCGGAAATTATTTTAAATCAATTAAATGACGATTCATTAAAAGCATATTTCTTATTTTTAAAATATTCGTTAAATTTTTTTAATAGCTTTAATGCCCTTTTTCAATCTCGTAAGGTTTTAATTTATACACTGTATAAAAATAGTCATCGATTAATTCGCGAAATAGGTCAAAATTTTTAATTCCAAGAGCATTAGACTCTATTATTGATTTAAATATAGAAAACAAACATAATTTTCAAGATAAATAATATATATGTTGGACCGGAATGTGAAAGTTTTCTTGAAGCACTACCTTCAGAATGCACGCGAGAAATTAAATTAAATTGTTTCAACTTTTATGTAACTGCTGTTCGCAAAATGTTAAAAGGTTTACCGTATAAAGATATTGTTTTTCAACAATTAATCTTCTGACAGCCGAAAATTGCTCTTTATGATGAAGCTAGAGTCAAATTTAAAGATTTAACTTTTATTGCAACGCGTTTATTATTAGAACATATTGATATTACAAAATTAGCTTTTGAGTAGAGAATTTTGCCATCCGTTTTTAATAACAAAGAAAAAGTAGAGTTAGCTTCTTTAGAGATTGATTCTATGTGGCAAAAAATATTAGAATTTAAAAATTTTGATGGGGAAAAAATGTTTTCAAATTTCTCATTGATCAAAGCGGTTCTTTCTTTTCCTCATTCTAATGCGGAAGCAAAACGAATATTTTCAATGGTAACTAAAATGGTAACTATTAAAAATAAAAAAAGAAATAGATTATCAAATGATACTGTTTCCGCAATGTGTATAATACGATCGAGTTTTCAAGCTGAAAACATTAATTGTACAAATTTTGAAATTGATTCCGGGCATTTAAAATTACACAATCCGCAAAATTTATATGGAAAATAATTTATCTGATGGTTTTTGAATATGCTTTAATTTTTGTTTTTTAATTTATTTTAATTGCTTTTTTATGCTTTAATTGTTTTTAATGCTTTAATACTTTAACGCTTTTTTAAGATAATTATATGCATCTAAATAATATTATTTTTTTATAATTTATTTTGCATTAATTTTTGCATCTAGCCAAATGACTTTTATGCATATATTAGTTACATATTATTATAATGTTAAAATTTCATATAATTTATTATTATAGCAGAATATTATATTATATATATCATTTAATATATCTGTGATAATATAAGTACCTGAAAATATTGTACATATTATTTTTTTATTAATGATTTTAATTTAAGAAAAAATGTGCAATTTTTTTCTAATTATAATAAGTACTGTGCAATTTTATTTTTTATAATTATTGAATACTGTGCAATATTATATCGGTTTTTATAAGTTAACGGTTTTTAAAAAAAAATATTTTATAATTTAATTTGAAATAAAATGTAATATTTATAATTTTATAATCAATAATTATAACTTTTGTTTATTTCAATTCTTGTTATAATTTATTAATTGTATTATTGTTAATGAATACTGGTAAGGTTTTTGGCAGTTTTCCTTACCCTTACAATAAATGTTGGTATTATTTGAAATTTCTGCCAAATTAAAGATTTTTATTTTATTTATGTAAAAAGTGTTTTATTTTATGATATCATCCTTTTCCTCTTCCTTTTTATCCTTTATTATAATTTATATATATTAAATAAATAAATTTTAAATATTTTAAAAATATATAAGTATACATTTAATTTTTTAATATGTTAAAAAATTTTTTTAATATTTTCGATGTAGCCGGGTAACGGTGCCTCTTTTCTCTAGTACGAGATACTTCACTGTGGCCGCGTGTTCGCGCATGCGCGTACAGCCGGTCCTTAATCAGAACACTGTACCACCATCCGAGAGACGAAAGACTAGGCTTAGTTTAGGCCTAATGTACACCAACCATAAGAGTATCAAATGTTATGTTTGTATTAAGGGTCGGCAGTACACCCAGACAAACTCCGAATTGATATTGGAGACCTCGTGCGGTGACAACGCGAAACTCCGGTTTCAGTGTTGCCAACGCCGAGAAACCAATTCTCGGGTTTTATGTAGTGGTGTATGTCTGTACACGTACATACACCACTACATCGCTCACGCGGACGCACGTAAGAGAGACAAGGACCGATAATCACATGTTCTCCTTGTTCCTCTACCGTGCCGGTATACGCGAGATGCCGCCTGAAAATGCTTTCTGGCCTTCCGTAGCAGAAAGCAGTAACGTAGCAAGACTAATAAGCACCCATTTTTGTAAATTTTATATATGCTTATGCACATATGTGGATATATTATTTATATATAAATATATATATATATAAAATATACTAAT